ATTAGGCTTATAGCCTAATAGTACAACAAATAAGGAAGAAAATAATCACAATATGATGTATCATAAGTAATAATAAAGCTATTATAATGTTGATAATACAGAAAAGGGAGTTAATTTTCTATGTGTGTATATGGAGGGGGTGGGAGGAGGTTGCCCTTCTGAGTAATACCTGAGAATGTTTATGAAGGTTATGCTGCCTGGAACTGCTCTATGAGACAGAATGAAATTAATGATCATTAAGCCTTGCCTGAAGTCCAATTGACAGGAAATATTTTTAAAGTGTATCTCATAGTTTAGAGATAGGTAATCTCCAAAATGTTTATAATTTAGATGTATTATGTAGTTTGTCTGCAGCCTTTTAGTTACAAAAGGTCCATTTTCTTAGATTTTGATGAGCTTCCAGAGAGACAGTGTGCTTAAGCGAGATGACAACATTTGATGCTGTAAATCCCTTAAAACAATACAATCAAGTACGACCTATAGATTGTGTAGGCTTACTATGGATAGTTAGGCAGGGGCAGTTTTCTCAGGGGATGACTATTACATTAAGAGCTGACTGAATTCACATATCAGCATGTATAGCTATGGGGCACACATACCTACAGGAGGACCATACACAAACACCCATATCCAGTGTTACTGAAACACACTTCTAAAAGCATGTCTTCTTGCAGGGAACAGTAGTAGCATCCTGGAATATTTGAGGAAATAACTTGGGCTTGGTATAGTACTACCAAATACAAACCTATATGTAAGACATTCTTTGGAAGGTATCACTATCATTTTGCATTCTATGGCTTAATATGTTAATTTTGTCCCCCCTATCTCTTGTTGGCTATAAGACAGAGGATATAGATATTACTGGGCATGAGCTCTGCAATCAAACCACCTGAGCTTGAATCCTGACTCCACTTACTAGTTATGACATTAAGCATATATTTCCCCTTGACTCAGTTTCCTTACCTATTACATGAGGATAATAATGTACCTCCTTCATAAGATGGTTATGAGAATTAAATGGGTTATTAAAATTTCTGGCAAAGGATTACACAATCAATGTGTTAGTTGTTATTTCTATCATTTATAGCAGCACCTAAAGCTTGAGTGGTTTCTATATGCACTTAAAAAAAATCAACAACCCTATGGTGTTAAGCTGTTTTGATTTGATTGATTTGGGTACTTTTCACTAAACTAAGCACTTAAAATAAACAATAACAACTTATTGGCCTATTTCCCAGAGGGGCAAATAAACATTAATACATGTGCCAGGGTTGATGTTCATTATTATATTTACAATTCTCTCATATCAAAAATCTCATATAATTTGGAAGAAAAGCACAGTAGTCTGAAAAGTACTTGAACTGTAAAAACTAAAAAGCCTGCATTAAAAAGGTGTTTTCATAAAAATTACCTTTTCAGCCAAGCCATAGCATTGTCTAATCAAGTCTCAACAATGATTTGGGTTCATGACTGGTAATGATATATAGAATGACTATTTACTGCATATTTGATGCCAGAATCAACTAGATCCACTGCCAATTTCAGAGTGAGATTGATGTTCCTGGGAATATCCCACTTAATAATTAGCTGAGCACCTAGTATGTGCCTAGTAAGATGAGAAAAGCTCCAATTGAAACTGAATTCCCTTATATTTAACTACAGGAGGAGAATTCAGAGAGAGGTATAAGCCCAAGCTATGATTTTTCAGTCTTAATATCCATACATCCTAAAATATAAACATCAAATAATACCCCATTATAACCCATCTCCTCGAATCAAAACAGTATGGTTAAAATTTTTCTGTAGAATCTATTCCTTCCTGTTTATTCAAATTATTCAAACTTATTCTTCTTGGAAGTCTTACGAGGAAAATGAAAATGTAATGATTAGTTCTATACTGGATTTGTCCAAAAGCCTTTAAAAGGTACCCTCTTGGGCCCTGTCTGGGTAACTCAGCTGGTTAGAGCATTGTCCTAATACACCAAGGTTGTGGGTTTGATTCCCAGTCAGGGCACATACAAGAATCAAACAATGAATGCATAAATATGTGGAACAACAAATTGGTTTCTCTAAAATAAAAGTAACCCTCCTTGAAAACAAATGACAACTTATAAAAGCCTTTAATATTAAAAAAGTGTCCCAACTCTAGTACTTAATGAAAATGTTAACATTTTCATTATTTCATAGTTTCCAGACAAGTGGTACATGCTCCTGGAATTTCTTAAGAATACCTTTTGTAGATACTGTCAGTTCTGTTAAAACAATGGTTATTTTCAGTAAATACTGTCCTAAAACAAAACAAAACATCCAGGAAGTTTCCCTATAATTTCCTTTAGTAAGAAATCGTCCTTTGGCCCAGCCGGGCATAGCTCAGTGGTTGAGCATCCACCTATGATTCAGGAGGTCAGGGTTCAATTCCTGGTCAGGTTACATGCCCGGTTTGCGGGTTTGATCCCCAATAGAGGGCATGCAGGAGGCAGCCAATTGATAATTCTCTCTCATCACTGATGTTTCTCTCTCCCTTCCCTCCCCCCCTTCCTGGAAAAAAAAATTGTCCTTTGTTAGCACACATTTTAAAGGCAAGAATTTGTTCAGCTGATGTATTTTCATTTCAAATGTCTTTAAATCTTACTCCCCCTCCCCTCTTATTTAGTTACTTTAAAGATTCCTGGTATATCAGTCTAATGCATATATCCAGTTGGTATAAAATACTGAAACTTGATCTACTGTTCTGTCATCCAGTACAATACAGAATAAAGAAGTCTCAAAATTATGTCTTTTCTTTTTCAATCACTCCTTAATATATCTGAACACCTCATTTTTTCAATTCTCTGAATGCCCTTAGTTCACATTCATACTCTACATGTGGGCCTAACATAAGCCATATACACCAAGACTTCCAATGAACATGCATTTATTAGCATATAGCAATATTAAATGAATTTCCATGCTAGTTTTTAAATCTGTTGAACTTTTACCTAAACTCCAAATTAAATTATCTAATTTGGCTATTCAGAAACAAAGACCATCTGGTATTGTTTAAAACAAGAAAGATTATAGTGAAGGTCTTTTTTTCTTTTTAGAAATTTATTTTCTTAATGTATATCCTATATAATAAAAGCCTAATATGCAAATTGACTGAATGGCAGAATGACCAGTTGCTATGATGAACACTGACCACCAGGGGGCAGACACTCAACATAGGAGCCTCCCCCAGCCAGCAGGCCCCAGGCCAGCCAAGGCGGGTGTGAGCAGGGGGCCCCCTGATCACTCCACCAGTCGTCCCACAGAGGGAGGCGACCGGCAGCGGTGGTGGGGGGCAGGGCCGGTGAGTGGGTGGCACCAGGCTAGCCAAGGTAGGTGCCAGTGGGGGCCCCCCTGATTGCCCCACAGATTGGACTTGATCGCCAGCCAGGCTTAGGGACCCTACCTGTGCATGAAAATCATGCACCAGGTCAGGCCTCTAGTAAGGATTATAAAATCACCACAAATTCTTCCTGAAGAGTAAAAGTATGTAGAAAAAAGAAGTCACCCATTTTCAAAGTTCCAAATTCCTGGAGTTTTAGACATAAACTCACCTAAGAATCACCTATTCAAAATGGTACAATAACTATTATGGACTTATTTGGTCCATAATCCCTATTTGGATATTTTCCTTTTTTTCCCCCCCAAAGGATGCAATACCCATTAAAATGCTGACAAAAATGGCATAACAGAACCTGACTTGAAATCTGTACCATAGGCCTGTTTTGATGACAAACACCACTCCCCTCAGATTTTTAGACTCCCAAATAATATAGTTTCTTTATTTTATTAGCCAAGTTTTCATATTCTAAAAAATGCTTTTATTGATTTTAGGGAGAAAAGGATAGAAACATCAATGAGAGACATCAATTGGCTGCCTCCTGCACACCCCCCACTGGGGATAGAGTCCATAATGAGGGAATTGAGCAGGGACCTCTTGGATCATGGGTCAACACCCAACCACTGAACCACAATGGCCAGACCAATTTTCAGATTCTAAACCTGCCTTTCCAAATTAAACTCCTAGTTCTTAAGAGTTTTAAATTATAAAATATTAGCACGTGAGAAAAATAGGTTGAGACATACCATTTTTGCTTACATTCTAAATGGGGCACTGTAACAGATAGGTCATACACTCTGAATTCATGTTTGTGTCATGTTTACATTTTTTTAAACCATAGCCACATGTTCAAACTGAAATGTCAATAACTATTCTTAAAGGTTTTTTGATTATCAAATGTAAATTCCACCCTTTCCAAAGAGCTCAGCTTTTTGATAAATTTGGTGTGATGATTGGGGTACAAAAGAAACTCATACTGATCTTAGATTTCTTTTTGAGCAAATCTTGACTCAGTATTTTCCTTACTCTCCTGTTTAAAAAACCTTCAATGATTTCCCTCGCATCAGAATGCTTCTCACACTATGGGAAGGTACCTGTGGGGATGATAAGCAAGAGTGGCAGAGGAAGACACAGGATAAAACATCTCATATGCTCAAGTTTACTAAAACATCTTGAGAAATTTTATGTATTTAAATATTATGGAACAAATTCTACAATTCATGGTATTTTTCAGGTATACTTTAGATAAATGTAAAGAAAAAATTTCTGGGCCAGAGCATATCTCAAGAGGGAGATGCTCCCTTTAGTCTCTTATGAATCAGGTTAAGAAAAAAAAAATTGCTAATCCAACTATGTAACTAGAATGGAATAAAGCCAAATAGTAGTAGTTGCCATTGGGTGGTAAAACTGATTTTTAAATAGAATTTTTGCCCTTTCTGACGTTTCTATATGTTCATGTATTACTTTTACCCTAAGAAAAATTAAAACTTCTTTTTAAACAGAAAAATACTTAATTTTTAGACTTGAAAGTCAGTTTTGTTGTGCTATTAAATACACTAAAGTCAGACTTTCCTTTAGTTTGTTAATATAGTTTCAAAATTAAAATAGATTTATATACTCCGTTTCTTATACTTACCTTTTGAGGTCTGGGGCTGGAAGAGTGGGAAAATGACAGAAAAACCTCTCAACAAATTCAAGAATTCTTTTTGTTGTTGTTAATCCTCACCCGAGGATGTTTTTCCATTGATTTTTATTGAGTGGGAGGAGAGACACAGAGAGAGAAACATTGATGTGAGAGAGACACAGGGATTGGTTGCCAGAGCTTGCAACTAAGTTACATGCCCTTGACTAAAATCGAGCCTAGAACCCTTCAGTCTACAGGCCAAAGCTCTATCCACTGAGCCAAGCCAGCTAGGGCTTCAAGAATTCCTTTTTTAACATTCCTTTGACAACAGAGTAGATTGCTCCCCTAAAGCTTATTTTAAAATGACCTTATTTTTAAAATGATTTAATTTTTGAAATTATCTGTTCAAATTCTTCCCATGATAGTATCCTTCATTATCACTTGTACAGTTCCCAAACCCAGTAGGATTTCCATTACAGATTTCCATGGTGGTAAGACTGCTTCAAATAACTACTTATTTTTCAAGGATTTTTCATTCCACACAGCTGGCCTGGCTCAGCGGTTGAGTGTTGACCTATGAACCAGGAGGTCAGTTTGATTCCCGGTCAGGGCAGATGGCAGAGATGGGAGCTTGATCCCAGTGTGGGGCGTGTAAGAGGCAGCCGATCAAAGACTCTCTCTCATAATTGTTGTTTCTATCTCTCTCTCTCCCTCTCTGAAATCAATTAAAAATATATTTTTTTAAAAAGAAAAAACAAACTTTCCCCCATTCGCAATCATACATTATTTATGGCACACCCCTCCCCCGCCATGCTAATACGATTGATCTCACACCCATAATAAACCAGTAAGTTTAGCAAATGTATTCTTTTAATTAGTTCATTTGTACTATTTGGTAACCTTTTTCACTTAATCATGAACAACTCCTAGCTCATTAATATAACTACATTATATTGAGTAAGTGTGAATAGTACTACTTATCACAATATATTATTTTTTGCTCTCCAGCCTGTTTTCTCCTCTATTCCAGGAACTTATTCCATGTGGTTTGAGCAGGCCTGACCATCCCCACCACTAGGTAGGCGCGATTTAGACCAGCCAATCAGAGTACTCCATTTATACTCCACCCCTCCCCCCCGACCATGGTGATTGGTTCAGGAATGGACATATCCTAGAAACAAGCCAATGAGAGCCTTCCCTGAGACCTCTTTGCCAGAATTATTCAGACAGTATGCCATTTAACATGTTATTTAATCAGCTTTTAATTGTTAGACACTTAAAATAACTCTTCCAATCTTTTAATATTATAAACATTATAATAAACACATGGACTACTTCTTAAGAGTATATTTATTAACTGTTTTTACAATATTAGAAAAGGGAAATAATTATTCTAATGTGCTAAAATCCTAAAAATATATTATGGCTATTCCACATTCTTATGTGACTGATAGTTTTTCATATAACAGAAAATAATCAACTATACCACTTGTCAGCATAGAACTAATATCTGAACTTTGGGACCTAATATTTAGGCTGATGTTTCGAAGTTCTGGATATCTTAGTCAACCTGCTTTTTCTTCATTTTGTTTCTTAAAATTAAAATTTTTGTTCATATTACTAATACATTTTAAAGGTTAATATGTATGAATAAATGAGGTGCAATTAATGATAAAGGTGTTATTATGTTCCTCAGGTGTGTTAAGTCAGAGAATAAGGTTAAGAACTAGGGATATAAATTGTTCATACCATCAGGAGGAGGAATAATGCCAGACTATTAAAGTCAGGAAATAGCAAACAGAAATTACTGAAAAGCAAAGAGATAGAAAAATGCATGTATCAGGACTAGTTCACTTGAAGAAATATGGAAAAACTTTAGAAAATATTGGGGCAAGATCATGAGGTACAAGCTAAAAAATTTGAATTTCATCCAATAAAAAGCAGTGTTTTAGGAAGGTTAAGTTAATGGGATATACTGTAGCAGATGAAGAAACAATTATAGGCAAAGAATTCCTCAGCTAAAATGCTGCAAAATAAGAATAAGCAAGAAATAATGAAGTACTTAACTATGGTAGCAATTCTAAGAATGGTGTCGAAGACAATGTTTGGGTAAATGACAAACATGAACAAGTTCAGTGTGTTCCTTGGAGCCATTAGCTTTGACTAAACTGGTCAAGTGGAAAACAATTTCAGAGACATCAAAGCACAATTTGCAAAAACTTGATCATCACACATATATCTATTAACCAAACAAACACTTTTTATACTCTAAATGGTCTCAAATGGAGGTTATTAACCTTGAGTCTGATTCATAAAACTATTATGTTATATTTACAAAGGTCAAATAGGCTTAGAGGAAACCAACTGAATGAAAAATTAAATCTGTAGATTAAGCTAAAAGCTTAAGCAGTCATAACATCTGCCCCCTATAAAGTCTTTGATCCTATGAGCTACGATTCTCCCTCTTGTATAATTGATCATAGCCTCCCAGACCTCCTTGCTATACCAGAAATGTCTTTGTAGTTGCTATGTCATCTACCTGAAAGCCTCTTCTCCCAGATACCTAATGGTGTGCTCCCTTATGGTTTATGTCTTTGTTCAAATGTCATCTCTGTGAAGCATTTTCTCATCATACTATTTAAAAATATGCCTCTCCTGCTTTCCAAACACCTTCATGCCATCCCTCCCACAGCCCTTGATTTATTTTTCCCCATAGAATTTATCACCATCTGACATGCCACTACGGTACCTATTAATTTTGTGTACTCTGTTACCCACACCTCACTCCCAAGATTGTAAGCTCCATGAAGGTTGGAATTTGTTTTTTCAGTGCTGATCCCCAGTACCTACATAACGTAAATTTGTACCTTACTTTCTATATATAAATGTTTCAAATCTATTTTTTTAAGTTCTTAAAATATATTATTTTATTGATTTTTTACAGAGAGGAAGGGAGAGGGATAGAGTTAGAAACATCGATGAGAGAGAAACAATGATCAGTTGCCTCCTGCACACCCGCTACTGGGGATGTGCCCGCAACCAAGGTACATGCCCTTGACCGGAATCGAACCTGGGACCCTTCAGTCCACAGGCCGATGCTCTGTCCACTGAGCCAAACCGGTTAGGGTTCAAATCTATTTTTAATGTTCCTTGTTCAACATTAGCATTTTCACACTGCCAGAAAATACAAATATGAAAATCTGTACACACTATGTTAAAACTTACAAATTCTCTTAAGAAGTGATGTACTTAAACTTTCTCGATGTATACTACCAAACAACAAATATTCTACCTTCATTGCTTCAGGCTAAAATGATATTTTAAACTGTTCACATGGAAACAAAAAAAATTACTTTATAGTTTACTATTTATCATATGAATTAAGTCCAGACAAAAAGTTTTAGTAGTACTATAAGAACTTATATCCTTGAAATGTTACTTCCATATATAAAAGCATTCCCAAAGATTATAAAATAATGAGACACAGAAGGAAACAATCTCTGGGGTGATTTAAAATTTCTACCACTTTCTAAAGATACTCTTTAATAGAATAATCCATGCTAAGTGGTTAAGTTATAAAACAAAGATATATAGAATAGCTTTAATAACAAGTTAACTAAATTGACGAACATTTAGTGTAAAAGTGGATTAAAATTTTTTCCTCAACACAACTTCTCAAACAAAATCTAACCCTGTAGCATAAGATAAATATAAATAATGACAAGATTCTACAGGCAGTTTACATTTTTTTCAAAACATAAAAGTCCAATCATATGAAAATAATAACTATCAGATTATTCAAAATCCCACCGAATTAAGGGGAGCTGTGCTCATTAATATGCTAATCTAAGTTAATTACTCATGTTGCATGTGTTAATCAAGAAATAGACCCAAATAGAAATTATGAATGAATTTAATTTCAGTATAATTAAGACAAAAAACAGCAACTAACTTGTCACCTTGCACGGAAATTTAACAGAAGAGGTTTAAATTTATTTATTTGCCAACATTTTCTTCATAGCATATAGCCTAAAAAAAAGACATCAGAAATTCATGAGTTATATTTTATAAATAAACATGGTAAGAACATAAACTCTTAAATTTCTGGTGGAGGAATTAATTCTTCATTAAAGAGCTCAAGTTAAACAGAAACTGTTTTATTCTAAACTGTAAAATCTCCTTGATAGAAGTTAAGAAAATAAGATTTTTTTAAAGCTGGAAATGTATGATGGTCTCATTTCTTTTCCCAGATATACAAAGTAATATATCTAAACACTTACTAGAACCAAATCTATCTCAAAAGTTTAGGACATTAATTTTTCTCCCTTTTGTTAATACTCAATGAGAAACAATACTTAGAATAAAACTTTTTCCATAAATAAGGGATAGTAATATCCACCTGCAAAAGGAAAAAAAAATTGAATTAGAATGTCAACTTCTAAATACATACATTATATATATATAGATACATATATATTACTTTAGAGATCACAGTTTATGAAAGTATAGTCTTGCTAATCCAATTGTACCTAAGATGGACTCGTATCAGTTATACTTAGTTGCTTAAAATACCTATAATTCTGTAACAACCAAAGAATATATAAATGAAGAAAATCAACTTAAACATGAAATTTAGTCTATGGCCAAATTTTCAAATCTATCACATATCAACATGTGTAATCTTAAGAGATTTTCATTTGAATATAGGATGCAAACTGAATTGTTGAATATTCCTCTTCTTGTCTCCTGGATACTTGCCTGCAGCACTCTGAGTTAGCACCAAACTCAATCTATACTCCAAATAACATTTAAGATGATCAAAGCTGGAATTATTTGGCATCAACTTAAAAAAAAAACTTGAATAAAAAAGATTAGGATTTTTTTTCCAAAGAAGATGGGAAAAATGAAAAAAAAAATATACACTCATATGTAACTATTTCTTCCTTGCAAAATAAGTAGCCAAATTAAGATTAACATTTTATTTTACTATTTGTTCTGTTTCAAAATTACACAAAGATGGAATTATATTAACTTTTACAAATAAAACTTCCAGTCCTGTTGAGTTACCTGTTTCATCAGGTACTGACAGGCTATTTCCTCTTCTATCATAAAAGACTGGAAAGAAACTGCATAGCTACAATAAATTTCAATGCAATAATGTCTTACTCTCCCAATATTTCAAATTTTTGAAAATCTATTATCAGGATTAAAACAAGAAAGTTTTCTTTTAGCTATAATAGCCCCAATGGACCTTCTTCACACCTGCAGCACCTAGATATAAATATTCACCTAGTAAATGTAAAATCCAAGTTTTCTCTGTCATTTAGAAGGCAGATTAGACTAAATATAATTTCGTAAAATTTGACTTCAAATTCATTTAGAAAAACAAAAAGAAAGCAAAAAAAGAAATCTAACTCCTGGGGTGTTCTGGAAAATATTAGACAAACTATGTAATTCATTCAGTAACTATTTCTAAGCATCTATGTGTTAGATGCTGGGATATTTTTAGTGAAACCAAAAACTATCATATATTTGTACAGTCTTTCATAAAATGGTTGAAATGAAGTAAAGGAAACAGGTTAAGAGCTTGATGAATGATTTATGAAAGCACCAAGCAATATTATTTCAATGTGACAGCTAGCATTTAATTCTAACAATATGGTGTATTGCTTCCTTGAGACAAAAAATTGCTGGAAAAAAGTGAGGTTGTTCTAAAAAATGCCTTATATAATATTTACCTTCAAATTAGAATTTAAACAAAAGATACTTGAATACAATTCCTTAAATTACATCTAATATACTTTCAGGGCTTCCAAAATTGACAATTAAAATTGGAAATTATTCATTAAGGACTTCTTTTATTTTGTATATTAGAGGCCCGGTGCACAAAAATTTGTGCACTCGGGGGGGGGGGGCTGGGGGGGGGGGGCCCCCAGCCCGGCCT